CAAACATCTTGGTCTGTGAATCCCTCTACACTCTTAAAAATTGAAGATCTCAAAGAGTTTTTGCTTATTTGTGTCCTACTTACTGACAATTACTATAGTATAAGAGAAGTGAGAGTTTCAAGCATTTATTTCATTCATTTATAAATACAATAACAAACCCATTATACATTAACATATTTTACAAAAAATAATTATATTCTAAAACAAAACAGTAGGGGAAAATATCAGTGTCCTTCATTTTTGCAGATCTCTTGTGTCTGACTTAGTAGAAGGCAACTGGATTCTCGAATCTGCTTCTGTACTCAATCTATTGTAATCTCATACAACAGTCTCTGGAAAATGCCACTATGTATTCATGAGAGAATGTGAGTAATAAAGGCAGACTGTGTCTTAGTAGTACTATGAAAATAGCTTTGACCTTGTGTACCCCTTGACCTCAGTGTCCCCACGCTGCTCTTTGATAACACTGTGCTAGAACAATCTCCATTCTGTGCAAAGGGATTTGTCCCCAGAGACTGAGTAATTTGCCTGAAGTAACACAGCAAGTAAGTAAATTGCAGAGCTAGGCTAATTTCTCAGCCTTTGCCTTCCGGTCTGAGACTTTTCCTATTCCCTTGTCTGTAAACTGGCCTTTTGGGAGTGGGGCCTAAGCTGCTTAGCTGCAGAGCCCCTGGTGTGTGGCCCTATAAATAAACCCATTGTGTCTGAGCCCCTTCCCTCTCCCCACCTCTAGCAGCTGCTATTTTTGTTGTTGGGTTATGCTCTGTACAGGCAACAGGAGGGCTCCGAGAGCAAAGATGAGGAATGTCTAGAAGCTTTTGCCCTGCCTGGAAGCTCAAGGCCTGGTCCTGCTGCTCTTGGTTCAGTTTAGAAGAACCTGCACCACCATGGCAGGTTCTTGGAGGGCCTATGAAGAGGAAGTTGAAGGGGGCTGCAGTGGGCCCCTTCCCCGAGAACAAATGCCTCTCAGAGGGCTATTATATCTCCTGTGCCAGTTGTCAGGAGGAGGGAAGGAAATTCTTACCAGACCTCTTTCCCTGTGTGTGTGGGAAGGAAGGGGTGTGGATGGGTTGGAATTCTTAGAGCTAAAAGATGATTTGGGCCAGGGATTAAGTTGCATCTCTCAGACCAGGAGTGCCCTAGGCACTCCCTCCCCACACTCCATGGCAGCTCTGGGCTGATTTGGCTGGAAGGGATGTTTGCTGTGGATGCAGAAGTTGCTGTTTACAAGTGGGCTGTTGGGTGTGATGGACTGGTATTCCTGAAAGTAGCTGGGAGGGGAGTGAAGGGGACCCATTGGTGCAGTGGATGACTCTGTTACTCAAGCTAGCTTCTCCATCTCCGCTTTTCTGCAGTTGCCCACCCCTCCCCCACTCCCTGGCCCCTTGCTTCTCTCCCTGGAACACAGGGAGGAACAGCTGGGTAGTGAGTGGCTCTTGGGGGTGGAGGGAAGGGGGGCAGATGGCCTTGGCTGAGGGCAAGGACCAGGAGGGAGGGATAGAGACTAGGCTTACTGCCATCTCTCCAGCTCCTATGCCCTGGTTGGAGAGGGGTGGGAACTGCAGACCCTCTGATCTCCTGGGATGTGGCTCAGTGCTTAGCATACACTGAGGCCTTGGGGAGGGGGATAGGGAGCTTTACAAGCCTGATTAGGTGGACTGGAGGTGTGGCTCAAGTGCAAAGCCCTTGAGTTCAAACCACAGTACTGCCCAAAAAAAAATAGTTCAAAAAAAAAAAAAAATACTGACTAGGTCAAAGATAGCAGTCACCCAGTTCAGTCAGCAGAGTAACCAGGCTACACTCCTGAACAGCAGTTTTCCCTTCCCTGTCCTTGGCTACCCAAAAACCACCCCCCAAAACTTCCAAATGACAGCCAGAGAACACTAGCCTCTCCCTCCCTTTGCTGCCTCTCTTCCCTCTGAGGTCAGCTCCTTCTGAATCAGGCCTTTGAGGCAGGGCAAGGGACCTCCCATAGATAGTTCTAGTGTGAGAAGCTTCCAGTTCAAGTTAAAGTTCCCAAGCAGGGCTCCCCCATTCCTAACCAGCATGGTCAGCATGGAGTGTTCCAGATCCAATATCCTGGGTGTGTTGTGACAGCACATGGAGGCATGTTTGAAACCAGGGCCATCTTGAGAGACCCAGGCCTGGGGTTTTCCCAGGCTCCTGGTGGGGCTGAGCATAGAGGTCATGAATAAGAGTCCAGAGTCCTGAGAGGGAAGAAGAGGGTGCCTGGCCCCAGGAGGGTAGGGAGACACTGACAGCAGACACCGACAGCTCTGGGGGTGTCTTTTTTCTTCAGATTTAGTAAGAAAACCCAAACTCCAAAGGGCCAATTTCTTGTTGAGATTTGAAGCTGGAGGTGGTAGTGTATGTCTGCATCCTTGAGCTTAGAAAATCTTTTTTTTCAATTAACGGATGGGTTTTGCTATGTAGCCCAGGCTAGCATCGAACTCAGGATCCTCCTGCCTAAACTTCCCAAATGCTGGGATTGTAGGCTTGTGACACTGCACTGATCTTTTTTTTTTTTTTATTTAAATCTGAGCTCAGAGTCTGGTCCCACTCATAGGCATGTGATGCTTCTTCCCACCACCAAATTTAAATGCAGGTCTCTTCCTGTGAGTCCTTACCAGTCTAGGCTGATAGCTTCCTGCCCTCTGCTTGTGGCAGACCTGCAGACTCCATCCTGCCTTAGCCCAGACCACCCTGGCATGAGAGCAGAGTGTTTCTCCTACAGCAGGCTGACTCACAGCTTTTCTTCAGCCAGCGCTTCCAGAGCCTGTCAGGCAGCTGAGCTGAGCTGAGCAGGAGAGAACTGTTACCCTCCGGAGGCTTAGAAACGGGAGGGTCTCCTGTAGTTTACAGCAGGGCTGGGTACTGTGCCCTGAGATCTGCAGGGGCTCAGATTTGGAGGATGGCAGTGGTTGGCTTGTGGGTGTATTGGGTCTCCACCCACCTCAGCACGTAAAATCACTGCATACACATACATAATCCACAGCCTTCATTCCTGACCTGGATGATTTTTCTATCATTTTAGGAAAAGATAGCCTACTAAGCCACCTTCATCTTTTGTTTGGATTTTGTTTTCATGTCGACATTTACACACACACACACACACACACACACACACACACACCTGGAAGTTGCCACACACACACACACACCTGGAAGTTGCCACCCACTGGTGCAAGATGATGTCCAGAGACCAGGGACGAGGGCATAACTGGTCGAATGGTGAAGGTAATCTGAGGTCTTTTTTGGTTTTAACCCCTAGGTTTTGTGTGTGGCGAGGAGAATATTTCTTAAATGTTTTTTTCATTTTTTTCTAGGCCTGTACATTTCTAAATATATCAAAGATTAGTGTTATGAGCAAACCAAATTATACTCAATAGATTTTATAATATTAAAATAACAAAGGATTTTAAATTGTTGTGAAGTGTTAAAAATAAATATTAGCAGGGCATGTATATCCCTGTATTCCCAACTACTTGGGAGAGGCAGGAGGATTGTGACCAACTATGCAGGAAGTGTAAGTAGGAAGATCATGGTCCAGGCTGTTCCGGCCAAAAAAACACAAGACCCTACCTGAGAAATAAGTAAAACAAAAAGGATTGTGGGCATAGCTCAAGAAGTAGAGTACTTGCCTAGCATGCTGGAGGCCCTGATGAGAGCCCATCTCTTCTGTGGTCCAAAAGCTCTAAGCTGCTTTTGTGGGGACTTCACTGGGGCAAAGAGGAGGTGATGGGGTAGTCAGTGGTAGACAGGGGACATCTACCCTTGCCAAAACAAAAAATCAAAAAGGCTTCTCCCCTTTGCCTGTAATCCCTGGCCTGAAAATTTCTAGCTGATTCTTCTCTAGATTATGAGTCAGAGACAAGTGAAGGCTGTGCTGGCCCTGGGACTGGCAAACTGGTGTGTGGAGAAGGCCTCAGAGGGCAGGGCAAGCCAGGCAGCACCTGAGATCTGCCCGTGCCCTATAGTTGAGACCCCTGGACAAGGGGCCTGGGACTCAGAGCCACCTATGTGTGAGCTGAGGTAGTGGCAAGCTGTGTGAGCCCTAGGCTTCACACTGCCTGTGTCAGCACGTGGTTAATATGAAAAGCCTCCAGTTAGTTCATGCAGATGCCAGACATCTGCAACTGTTACCTCCTTTTGTCCTGCAGTCCTCTGGAGACTAAGTAGCCTTGCCCCCATTTTATAAGCCAGAAAAGAGAATCTCTAGAGTCAAGGATTTTAACCCAGATCTGTCTGACTGCAAACTCCAGGAGTCTGTATACAGTCTCTGCCTATGGGGGCTGTATTGAGCTTACATGGAAGTTGTTTTGTGGAACTGACTGGCCAAGTAAAATTTCAATGAGCAGAGAGAGGCCACAGAGGAGGGGTCCATGTAGGCCTGTACAGTGTGCTATATGAACCAACCTTATGATTTGGGAATCCTTTGTTTCCAGAGTCTGCTTCCTCTGCTGGTCTATTGCCCTCCTGCCAAGGTTGTTAAAAGAATCAGATAATGATGTTACAGAAGAAAGTTCCTGCACTACACAGTACACAGGATACACTTAGTGTGTGCCAGGGCGACTTCTTTCTCCTCAGGCATTGATAATAGCACTTAATTCCCTTCATGATCATGAAGACTAAAGAAGATAATGTGTGTTTAGAAGGGTAGTAAAGCACTATTGTGTGACTGTTAGTCTCACCTGTGAGCCAAGTGACTTCTGGCTAAGATCTGAGACCATGGCACTGTCTGTTTCCTCTGTCCTAAGTGTTTTTCCCATCTCAGGATTTCCTCTGGACTTCATGCAGACCTCTGCCTATACCACATCTCAGTTGGGCCTTATTACACCCAGTGTTGTATACTGCCTGCCTCACTCAGTAGAATGGAAGCTTTGTAATTGTAAAGGCAGATCTTTCAGGCTTGTTCACACCCCAATGCCTGGCACACAGTAGGAGCCCAATAAATGTTCATAAAGCACATGACTGACATCATCTTCCTCTGTTTCTCCACAGGTGAGGTGACCCTTCTGGCTTCCAGAGTGAACGTGCCAGCCTGAGTGAGAGCCAGAGACTGGTGAGGGGCTTTGAGCCTAGGTATGCTGGTGATGGGGACTGAAGGAGCTGGAGTGGGGGAGGCATCCCTGTGCCCTAGTATGGAGGACAGGAGTGAGGTTCAGGTGTCTGGGGTTAACTGCCATGCGTCCCCCACTGCTGTGGTCCAAAAGCTGTAAGTCAGTGGTAGACAGGAGGCATCTACCCTTCCCAATAGCAAACAGGTTCCCACCTGCTGGAAACGTCCACAGTAATTGTACAGAAGGAAGACATGAGCATTTTTCTGTGGCAGAGAAATTGGAACTCAGATGGAAGATGAAGTCTGGTCAATTAAAGCTAGTCATCATGGCAAAAGTCTGATGGGTAGGAGGATCACATAACACAGTGTGGGTCAGAACTCTGCTGTGTTTGGTCCATAATAGACTAGTGTCTTTGGTCATCAGTCTGTCACCTGCATGCCAGGTATCACACCAGGAGTGGCGATTTGGACAGAGGAGTGAGTACAATGTCCCTGTGCTTAGGAGCTGACAGTCTTATGAGGGAAACCATTACAAAGCTACCTGGGCAGGAGCAGCATCCAGCTGATCCTTTGGGTGGGAGCTTGAGGAATGAGCAGGAAGGCCTAGCCAAGCAGAATGGAGAGGTGTTGTCAAGAGGGGCCAGCATACATGAAGAGGCTGGTCCACCAGGACCTCAGGGGCAGTGCTACCCATTCTTCCAGAGTGCTGGTAGGGTTTGGAGAGGGTAGTGTTGGAAGCACACACGACACTTCCTGCTGTATTTAGGAGGTAAAGCTCAGGACAAAGGACCTCAACGAAGGGTTACTCAACAAGATAAGACAAATGAAAGCCAGGACTGGGATTGAGGGCACCAAGCCCCTGCAGTGTATCTGTTCACACATACCTGAGTTATATCTACACCTCTGTAGGCTGCTTCTCAGGGTATTGTTCTCTAGGTGGTCAAATGTGACCACCTAGGGGACAATGGGTGGTCTCACAAGCCCTGCCAAGGAGGAATAATTCTTCCACCCATTTCTCTGATAAAAAAACTGAAGATCAGTTCACACAGCAAGTTTTCATGTGTTCACTCAGCTCAGAGAGGAGAGCCAAACAGAGCCTTGTAGCTACAAAGTCAGGATTTTATCCATGACTCCACTACCTTAAGCATGTTCCTTGCCCAGGAAAGGGAACACTGTGATCCTTGGGACAAAATCCTAGTTGTCTTACCTGTTACATTATATAGGTTGTTATTTTTACTGTTACTATTAAAAATAATAATGGATTTTTTTTTTTATGAGACTGGTGTTTGAACTCAGAGCTTTGTGCTTGCAAAGGAGGCACTCTACTGCTTGAGCCACACCTCTGGTTCATTTTGCTTTGGTTATTTTGGAGATGCAGTCCCACAAACTATTTGCCTGGGATGACCTCGAACTGCATCCTTCCTAATCATAGCCTCCCAAATTGCTAGGATTATAGGTGTGAGCCACCTGCAATTGTCATGTTTTTAAGTAGTTTTTTGTTGTTGTTTTTTGTTTTCTCATGGTACTGAGGATTGTACCCAGGGCCTCACACATGCTAGGCAAGTGCTCTACCTTTTGAGCTATGCCTCCAACCCTTTTTTTAATTTTGTTTTTGAAATAGGGTCTCCATAACTGCCCAGGCTGGCTTTAAACTTGCAGTCTGCCTCTCTCCTGAGTACCTGGGCTCACAGTCATGCACCACCATGCCCAACTGCATAGTTTTTTCTTTCTTTCTTTTACTTTTTTAGATAAATTTTGCAGAACTAATTCCTATTTGTCAACGTTGAGTAAGATTAGGTCATGTTGTCATTTTGTAAATGGGGACACTGAAGCACAGGGAGACTGATTGACTTGCCAGTTTGAGTTCAAACCTAGCAGAGAATTCAGGATCTTGGCTCCTTGTTCAGCGTCTGTCTAACCAATACTAGGATGTGTGCAAGAACAGGGGTTTATAAGCAACAGTCTCTGTTACAAGACGGGAAAATGAGCCTGTGTCTAGCCTGACCCTGTGTCATTACAATGTCCATAGCACACTGATCTAAACTCCCAAGATACAGAAGAGTTTTGTCTTTGTCCTCCTGCCCTCGAGTAGCCTTCCAGGGCTTCTTTCACTTGTTCCCAAGGCCTGATGTCAGAGGCCATGGACCAACCAACTGGAGGTCCTGGACACCCAAGGCCAGGAGCTGGCGATGATGGCAGCATGGAGCCCAGCACCTGCCAGGAGCTTCTCCATCGACTCCGGGAACTGGAGGTATGTGGCGGGTCAAGATGGGATGGCAGTGCTGGCCAGAGCCCTGTGAGAGCAGGACTGCCCCTCTGCCTGAGCTTAGTACAGGCTATGGGTGCAGGTGGTCTTCCTCAGCCCCCTTGGCCAGGCTAAAAGAGACTGAACATTCCTTTAGCAAAGCTTCTTCAAGAAGCCCTTCCTTGCTCTTAGCTTTCCAGCCTAGATGGCAGCTAAGAGACAAAAAAGTGCATAGGAGTAGGCCCTCCTAGTTCCCAGATGTCTCTCTCTTCCCCCTGCTTGCATGCCCCTGCTGACTTCAGGGAAAGAACTTGTCACAGAGGCCACAGCAGGAAGTGTTTAGATGACCCAGAGCCCAGAAGTTGAAGGACAAGGAATAAATCCTCAAACCAAGCCCCTTGCCACATTCTGAAGACTCTGACATCCTCCTGTGCCCACCTCCCAGAGAAATGAGGGGGTTTTTTCCTCCTGGCCATGGAGTCTCCTCAGTCCCCAGTCTTACCAAAGTTGAGGTTTACAGAAAATGGGTCCATCTCAGGGATGTCCATCACTGCCCTTCTGTTCCCTTAGTTCATCTCTGCAGGCCTCCCCATATGGGCTGCACCTGGTAGATTCCTTGCTTCCATTCCTTAAAAGACATTTGCCCTGCAGGAAGAACAGTCCCCAAAGACTTCCTCTTGCCCTCTCCCTCCTCACTCCTGCAGGCAGAGAACTCAGCACTTGCCCAGGCCAATGAGAACCAGCGAGAGACTTACGAGCGCTGTCTGGATGAGGTCTGTAGTTGGACTCTCCTTGGGTCATGGGTGAGGGAGAGACCCAGCTTATCAGCTTAACCTCTGGGCTTTCCGTTCCCAGGTTGCCAACCATGTGGTACAGGCACTGCTGAACCAGAAGGTGAGTGGCCATAGGAGACATTCTCACCCCCAAGCCCAGCCACCCTGGGAGAGGCCCTGAGTAGAGTCAGGTGGCCCTTCAGTGGAACCCTGGAGTCTGCTCACCTAAACCTTTACTAGTGGAGGTTCACTAGTGGACAGGGTTGGAGGAGATGGCTTATTGGCCCTCCACTATGGCCCTTAACCTACCTCCAGCAAGTTCATTCTTTCTACATGGAGGCTGGGGTGAGACTAGATAAGGCCAGGTCTCTGAACTATGGGAACTTCAGTTTGGACTTGAATCCTTTCCCTACTCTGACCCCAGCTGGTTTCTCCAGGTTGTGATAGCCCTTAAAGCAATGTTAATGTCATAAACATAAGTGGCATCAAAATATTTTTTCACATAGTGTAGATAACTTCATGACACATGGACCACTCTGATCCCAGGGTCTTCCTCCAACTTTTATAGGCCCTTCTTTGCCATGTGATATCTATGGGGCAAGAAGTTGGCTCCAGGAATGGGAAAAGTGACAGAGAGAATAGGCTTTACCTCCCACTAAAGTGGTAAACCTCAGAGAACTTACCATCCCCAGAAGAGGCAGTAGCTACAAACCCAACAGCCTAGGGTCCCTCACAAGAGGTTGAAGTAGGAGGGCATGCCTAGCAGGCGCCTGGGGCCTCTAGGCAGGATCTTCCTGCTGCTGGAATTAAGAGCTCATTTCACTCTCCCTCTTCCCACCATCCTCTTTGCTTCCTCTACCTCATCGGGGTGCAGGACCTGCGGGAGGAGTGCATCAAATTGAAGAAGAGGGTGTTTGACCTGGAACGGCAGAACCAGATGTTGAGTGCCCTGTTTCAGCAGAAGCTCCAGCTCACGACGGGCTCCCTCCCCCAGGTGGGCACATGTGCTTCTCCTTTGCTCTCATTTTCGTTACTATCAGCCCATCCCATCTAGGAAGATGGGGTATGCGTCATCTGATTGGTTACTCTTAAGGTGGGGATGATATCCCAGTCTTCAAAGCTTAGC